TTTTTTTTTTACTACTGGAACATGTGTGAAAGAGTAGCTAATTATGGTATCATGCTGATACAATTGCTGAATAGACTGTTTAGTTCGAACACCTTCACCGAGTGTATAGAAGGGTATGATATCCGCGAGGCGTTTTTAAATGTCGGAAGTAGCGCCTAAACCTCTGTCCCCACTTTGTAGTGCCTGGAACCCGGCTGGGGGCACAGATTGGGAATGTGACGTGTCCTGGGCATTTGCTGAGCAGAGTGTGATCTACAGGTGAACAGCTTCACCGCTACTGGGGGAGCTTCTAGATTTGGACTGACCTATTGAATCAGGATCTGCATTTTAACAAGATCCCCAGGGGTTTATGCACACACTGCTGTTGAAGCGCTGTTGTAGGCGGCCTTCTTTAGAGAGATTGTACATAGCTAGAAACTCACGAACGTGGGAACAGTAGGGGACAGTGAGGTGACATAGGAACATTCAGGAACTTTGGGCCAGATTTATAATAGCAGATCATACCAGTGCCCTTCCCTGTCCTTCACAGCACCTGCAGTGACAGTACATTTCTCACTGGCCCTGGCCACCTTGCCCCCCTTGACTTTGTATCTGTAGAATACTGCAGAGTCCAGTGTTAGTCTTCTAGTTTAAGAGTCAACACATAGGGGCGCCTGGGTGGCTCAGTCTGTTGAGCATCCGACTCTTGGTTTTGGCTGAGGTAATGATCTCACAGTTCCTGAGTTTGAGCCCCATGACGGGCTCCATGCTGACAGAGCAGAGCCTGTCTAGGATTCTCTCTCCTTCTCTGCCCCTCCCCTGCTCACACACGTGTGCGCGCTCTCTCTCGAAATAAACTATAAAAAAAAAAAAAAGTCAACACATGAAATCCTTGATCTTTTTAAAGAGATGGATACAGGGGATGGGCAGATAAAGATAAAAATGGCACCTTTCTTACTGATTAAAGCCCTTTGGAGAATATATTGAAGGCCAAACAGGCTTATTAATATTCCTTTGAAATGAACTTAATGCCCCCGAACTGCAAGCCTCCCCAACAAGGAGGAGCATGCTGTACTACACTCATCACACAACTGAGAGCAGGAGGGACATTTGCCACAGGCAGGCAGGTCCCAGGGGGAGAAGAGAGGTAGGACCAAGCGACCCATGCTCGGTTTCTACTTCAAAACTCACCAGGGGAGGAGTGAGTGGGTGGGTGGGCAAGCAGGTGGGCAGGAAGGGAAAGGCCAGCTATCCCAGTGGGGATCCCTCCTCATGAAAATATGAGAGTGGCATCAGGGTTCCCCCAGCATCTACTTCAAAGCAGTTTTCCATCAGGCTCACTGATAAGTGTCAAAGGAGGCAGACATCATCCTGGTCTTCTGAGTCCTGAGGGAAAGGCCTATAGAGAACTGTTTCCTCCTTGCAGAAAGCTGTACCTCTATGCGGCTCACGATGTGACCCTCATGCCTCTCTTAATCATCCTGGGGATTTTTGACCACAAATGGCCCCCGTTTGCTGTTGATCTAACCATGGAACTCTACCAGCACCGGGAATCTAAGGAGTGGTTTGTGCAGCTCTATTACCGTGGGGAGGTAAGGTGGCGAGGCACCCTTCCTCCAACCCTGCTCACCTGGTTTACCGCCAAGGCTCCCTCCTTGGGCCCAGTGGAGTCTCCTTGGTACAATCAGCTCTCTGGACCCAATAGAGTGACTCACAGCCATGGCCCAGAGACAGGGCAGAACTGGAAATATGGTGGCAGGCTGGGATTTGGGCCTTATCATGAGCCTGCTACAGACTCCTTCTAGGAACAGGACCCCCTCCTCCTGAGTGTCTCTGCCAGGATGTGGCATCCTGACTGGGAGTCTGTGTTGAAAATTAATGCTGGTGTCCTTGGGAGGCAGTGTGCTGTCTGCACTGCGGTGCCTCAGCTGCTGTCTGGGTCAGGCGCTGGAGCACCCCACCCCCGCCCAGGGCAGACTTTCGCCTCCCAGCTCAGGGGTATGATGTGACCGTGTCTTCTCGGTCAATTCAAGAAGCAGTTCTTGAGTGACCGTCTCAAGTAGGGCATGGTGCGCCTATTCCGGAAGCTGACCGGCTAGTGGGGCCTTCCTGGCTGTTACGTGTGTGCATGCACACACCATTGGGTCAAGTTCCTCGGACCTCTGGGCACAGCTGAAAACAGCAGGCCAGGGTCCTCAGTGGCCCCGCTGAGTTTTGTCTCTTCCCCAGGAGCAGGTGCCAAAAGGATGCCCTGACCAGCTCTGTCCACTGGACAAGTTCTTAAACACCCTGTCAGCTTACACCTTGAGCCCAGAAAAATACCACACACTCTGCTCTCAAGCACATGTGATTGAACTTGGAGATGGAGAGTGACCGATGTATACAAACAGGATGCGTTGGTTTTTCAATAAAATGCCTTAACACACTGCCTCTGGTTGTCATGCTTGGGGAAGGCAGGAAACAAGGGTTAATGTATTTTAACCTAAGGGTATTTCCTTCCTGCAGATATGATATACTGAGGTCACTTCTTGAAAGGAAGAGAGGTGTAATGTTGAGACCAAAGGGGTATTTCCTATTTTGTGGCTTGATTTCCATGGCCAGAAGCATCTGCCATGACACAGGCTAGGGTCATCGTGACCCTGCAGAATTGTGTTGGTTTGGGACTCGAGTTCTTTTTACCTGTCTTCATTTCACAAACATACATTGTGCCACCTACTAAGTAGTGGGCATTATAAAGGTGGAAAGGTTCTGCCCTCACGTTTTTTTCGCCCATGGGAGAGGCAGTAAGTCAGTGATGATAATGCAGTGTGTTACGTTCTGTGATGAGGTGTATCGACCTCTTTGGGTACAGAGAAGAAATTCCTAGCCCCACCTGGCAGGGGCCCGAGGAGCAGTTAAGAAAGGCTTCTAGGGAGGTTCTGTGCTGATCTGAGTAGGAAAGGTGAGTAGGAGTTAACCAGGTAAAGCAAGGAGGGAAGGGTGTTGTGTAAAAGGTAAGCTTGGAGGTCAGGGGACATTGCTGGTCAGTGAGATGAGCCCTGCTGTGGAGACCCGGCTGGAAGGTGCGGGATGGACACTCGGCTTCTGGTGGCCGTAGCCCCAGTAGCGAGGATGCAGGCTCCACAGTGGCAGGCTGGAACCACTCTAAGAACTCCACCTCTAACTGGGCCCCCCGAGGTACCTGATGGTCCCCCTATTTCCTTATCAATTTTCTCATTCTTCCCCAGAATCTCTTTCAAACTTGCTCTCATCTCAAACCAATCGATCTCTTTACCTCTTAGGGAAAACAGCAATCACGAAACCCTCTCCACTTCCAACCATCTTTGTGTTGACAGCTTCCAGACCTACTTCTGTAGCTGAGGTTTTTCATCTGCAGACACTCATGACCACTAGGACGTCCCATAGGCCCCGAACTTTCAATGTCAGAATCAGCCCCCTCTCTCTCAGACTTACTCCTCCCTCAGCCTTCTGTATCTGAATGAAAGACCCCTCCACCGTCCACTCAGTTGCTAAAGCAGAAATCCATTCTTGTCTTTTTCCTCTCCCATTTTCCTGTGTCTAATCAGTTAAGTTCTACCAGTCTCTCATGTTTGTTGTTTGAATCCATTCATATCTATCTTTGACGGTCATCGTCCCCTCCCCATCCTCACTCTGCTAATTACTATATTTCCTATTTCGCCAAGAAAGTAAAAGGAATCAGGAGATTGCTCACCCCCGACCACTGCCAAATCTCTTAACTCACATGCATTGGTGCCCATAAGGCCTTCTGTCCTGTTACTAAGAATGAACCATCCCACTCCTATCTAAGGCCAACCTCCAGCTTTGCACTGACTCCTACAATTACCTTTTTTCTACATTGTTACTTTTATCTTCCTACCCTACTTATTCTCACTAGCATACAAATGTGCTGTAAAATCTGTCTTACAACTTTTTCCCACATCTTTGACCTACTATTGCTACTTTTCTTTTCCCTTTTACAGCAAAACGTCTCAAAACTTTTCAAAAGTCATTTAGACTCTGATTCTTCCCATTCTGTCTTGAGCCAACTGTGATTCACCCCACCACTGCATGGAAACAGCTTCTGTCAACGTCATCAGCGACCTCTGAGTGCTAAATCCAACAGCCAATTTCCGGGCTCACTCAGCTTCTCATCAACAGTCTGGGGATATTTTCTTCATTTGGCTTCCATGACAAATACTCTCTTGGTTTCCCTCAAATTTCTCAACTTCTTAATTTTTGCTAAATCTACCTTTTCCTCATCTCTAGGTGTTGGAGTATCTCAGGTCTTAGTCTTTGGATTTTTTCTCTACCTTTTTTCTACTTTTTCCCTCCCTACATGATCTCAAGCAGTTCCATAGTTTAACATATTTTTACACAAATTTATCCCCAAATTTATATCTTCGCTCTGGACCTTTCCCTTGAATTCTAGTCTCATTTCCAACTGTCAACATCTCTACATGGACATTTAAGATATTTACTGTATATTAAACTTCCCATTGTTCACGATAAACTTAATTTCTGCCTCTTCAAACCTACTTGTCACACAGGCTTCCGCATCTAGGTTTAAATGGTAACACCTCGGACAGTTGCTTGGGCTAAGAACTAGGGAATTTCCTTTGCTGCCCCCGTTCCTCATGTCTTACATCTAATGCATCAATAAATCCTATTGTGTCTCTCTTCAGACTGCATTGACCGCTTCTCAAGACATCCATTGCTACTTAGTCTCGGCATCATCTCTTACCTCTTCGAAGTCTCCCTGTTTCTGCCCTGTCCTTCCCCCCCAACTTCTCAGCATAGGTGTTGCTTTTAAATTTTTTTTTCAACGTTTACTTATTTTTGGGACAGAGAGAGACAGAGCATGAACGGGCGAGGGGCAGAGAGAGAGGGAGACACAGAATCGGAAACAGGCTCCAGGCTCTGAGCCATCAGCCCAGAGCCCGACGCGGGGCTCGAACTCATGGACCGCGAGATCATGACCTGGCTGAAGTCGGACGCTTAACCGACTGCGCCACCCAGGCGCCCCTGTGTTGCTTTTAAAACAGACCATGTCACTCTTCTCGAAATTCGCCCCGGCTTCCCATCTCAAAGAAAGAGCCAGTCATCATAATAGTCCTCAGGACCTTATGACATCCTCTCCTATCTCTTTCCACTGTCCTCCGTCTGTGCAAGCCTTCTTGCTGTCCTCGTATGCCTCATAGCCATGCGGTGTGCCTCACCTCAGCTTGGGGCCTTGGCACAAGCGGTTCCCTCTCCCTGGAATGCTCTCCTAGACATTTGCATGGTTAGCTTCCTCTCTTCATTCAGATCTCAGCTCACTGCCATCTCAGAGAGGCCCTCCCATGTTAGCTTACATAGAAGATTTCAGACCCTTCTCTTCCCTCTACGTCCAGCCTTAGTTATGCTCTATCACCTTGTGTTAACGGGCTGAATGATGTCGCTTCAAAATTCCTATGTTGAAGTCCTAACTCCCAGTACCTCAATGTGACTCTGTGGAGATGGGGCCTTTAAAGAGGTAATTAAGATAAAAAGAGGTCATGTGGGTGGGCCCTAATCCAGTGTCTTATGAGAAGAGGGGAGATGAGGATATCCACAGAGAGGGAGGACCATGTGAAGAGACAGGGAGAAGATGGTCATCTGTAAGTAAGGGAGAGAGACCTCAGAAGAAACCCAGCCTGTTGACACCATGATCCTGGACTTCAAGCCTCCAGAACTGTAAGGAAATACATTTCTGCTGTTTAAGCCACCTGATCTGTAGTATTTTGTATGGCAGCCCTAATCAACCAATACACCTGGTCCTGTATCTTTTTTTCTCTCGTGATATTTATCAGTGCTTGATATTTATTTGCTTGACTAGAACGCAAGCTTTATAAAGATAGACTTCACCTTGTTCACTGATATGCCCTCAGCAGCAAGAATAGTGCCTAGTACATGCTAGCACTCAAACATTTGTTGAATGAACACATCCCCTCTGTCACTACTATCTTGGGGCCCATAATATCCTCCTGCATTACTTAGTGGCATCCTAATACCCTTTCTTGCCTTCTGTTTCCCTTTGAGAGCTGGCCCCTGCTTATCTCCAATCCACGCCTCACACCTCCTCACATATCCCCCCTGGCCAGACTGAACCGTTTTAGGAACAGGAAGCCTCCTGTGGCCTCTGGACTTTGGTACACATTGTTCCATCCCCTGACCCCCAACACACTCCCTTTTCCCACCTCACCCCTGCTTATCTAGATACCTCTCATGTTTCTGCTTGTCTCGCAACGGGGCTTGTCTCGCAACGGGGCTGTCTGTCTTGTTTATTGTTGTGTTCCTAGAGCCAAGTACAAGAGTTGGCACAATTGACCAGCAAAGATTTGGTTTTTTTTTTTTAATATTCTTTTTTCTTAAGTGCACTTATTTTGAGGGCGTGCGCAGAGGGAGAGTGAGAATCCAAGCAGGCTCTGGGCATCAACGCTGGGCCCAATCCCATGAACTGTGAGATTCTGACCTGAGCCCAAATCAAGAGTGTGATGCCCAGGGGGCAAAGATTTATTGAATGGATTTTTTTTAATGTTTTTATTTTTGAGAGAGAGACAGAGCATGAGCGGGGAGGGGCAGAGAGAAAGACAGTATCCAAAGCGGGCTCCAGGCTCCGAGCTGTCAGCACAGAGCCCCATGTGGGGCCTGAACCCACAGACTGTGGCAGTCATGACCTGAGCTGAAGTCGGAGGCTCAACCGACTGAGCCACCCAGAGGCCCTTACTGATGGATTCTGAAATCCCTCCTTGTTTGTGCTCCTGTGCACTCTTCCCCACTCGCCACCAGGGGGAAACCTGGAGTGAAGGCAAACACCCAGGCTTCCACTGGGTTCAAATTACACACTACTCTGTGCTTTTCTGTGACCCCTGGACAGGAATTTCTGAGCCTCTCACGTAAAATGAGATGAGTATACCAACTAATTAGGGTTGTGAGAATTAATTAAGTAAATGTAAGAGCCTTCAGAGAGGGTTTTTTGTCTGTTTGTTTGTTTGTTTGTTTGTTTGTTTTGCCTTTTTGTTATTTCTGCCCTCTAGATTCTGAGTTGACACAGGCTTCCTCACCTCGTAGGGAAATTTGGGAGTGCACTTCCCAGCCTCCCTCTCAGCGGACAGTGCCTCCTCTCTTACCCCTTACCAGGGGCAGTGTGCTTGTGTGTACAGGGGAGCCCTGACTCCCTCCCTCACCAATCACGTGGCTGTGGGCAAGTCACTTAACTTCTCTGAGCTTGTGTTTTTCCAATTATTAAGCAGGGATGTTAACATTTGCCTACCTGACGATCTGCCCTCAGGATAGATGTGAGCATTTCATAAACTCCTCACCCGCCCTTGGCCTTGACTCCTTTCTCTTTATGT